GAATCCTCTAGAACAAAAAATGCCCATTGTATTCATATAATCAGCACAAATGTCAATTTCACCAATAAAAGAAAAGCAATAAAACAAAAAGAAACTGCTTCCGGCCAAGTAGCCCAATATTCCCAAAGAAATGACGTTTTGCATATTATATACCCTACAGTCTACTGTATTTGCAAATTCGTTCCAAATTAATTTTAGATAATTTGCTAATTTACCCTCCAAATCTCCTGCATTGTTTTGACGGAGAACGAGAGAACTTTTCGCAATACTGAAACTTCAGGGGCTTATGTGCAGAAAAATATACATACTCGGGTCTGTGATAGTGATGGTGGCAACGCCGCCGAAGTCACAAGCGCCGGGGGCACCACGAGACCGCTGATAAAAGCTGTTGAAGGCATAAGAGGCGTGGGCCTGCATAGTGTTGGGCAAGTAGCAAAGCCCGCTGGGCTGAATGGGCTGACAATCCGCCGACCCGGGTCCGCAAGCGTAGTCCAAAGCGGCCTGTAGAGCTCGGTCGCTTGCTTCGCTGCTCGCTATGCACCACTGCGCTCCGTCCACTACTGCTGATGTTAGGAGGAGGAGGAGGAGGAGGAGAAGTACCGGTGCTAATCTCACCGGCGGTGAACCCATCAACTCCTCCAAAAGAGAGTGCAAGTGGGAGGTTTTTTTTTGGAGAGTAGAGAGTGTGGGAGAGGAATACCTTTTTGGGGGGGGAGGTGGTAGCTTTTTTGGAGAATAAACTTACTTTTTCTTTACTATGTACTCCCTTTTATTTTAGGGTTATTATAGGTATTAGTCCCTCAACTTAATAATTCTACATGAGTCCCTCGCACCTAAGAAATTGCTCTTAAGTCCCTTAAATCTTACGGTTCTTGCAATTTATTCCCTCAATCACCAATGTTATGTTGTTCCCGGTCGTCAAAGTACGGTCATTTGCCAGTAACGGACATGTGTTCCCCTACATGCACCGTTCAAACCAAATTGACGGTCAGGGGAAATGAGGACCTCGACTTAGACGATCCGTCAAGTCGACATCTCTTAGATCGACTCGAATGACGGTACTTGTCCGTCCTCTTATCGAAGACGACTCGCTACGAGCCTACCCAACCAGCTATTTGACGCCTACGCGGGGTCAACTCGAAAGGCGTTACTTCTCGGCCAAGCCAAAGGATGACTTTAATCTTGCGCCTTTCTCGCTGACACCACGTCGGCTTCACATTTAATGCTTCGTAAGCGCCATCATACCTCTAGCCCCGATAGTCTTCATGACACATCAGGCCACGTCGGCACCGTCATATACCTGATCACTTCACATTAAATACTGGTCTCTCCTTCACTTGTTGGCTGACACCTGTAAAGTAGGTGCTAACGCATGAGCAAAGTCATACTTATTTGTTGTCATCCTGTGCTCGGCTGAAATAACGGTTCTACCATTTCAGCACCACTATAAATAGAGATATTATTCTCAACATAAGGGGGGATTTGGCCATGTCATTTCTGGGTAATTTTTAGGCTATTTTTCCAAGCAATATCTGATAGTTATATTGTACTACACTAAAGAACTCACACAGTTCTTTATTTTTCCACTCAAGCTCATCAACTAACTTGATCGTCGAAGGAACCAATGGGGAATCAAACCCCGTCCTCTCAAGAGTTGCTATTTATGCAGGTTGAAGCTACTCAACTCAAAACCAGATATTTGGAAAAATGAGCGGCCCCTAATCAATCTCACCCCACCATATATTTGACTGTTTGATTATTTAACATCAACAACCAAAATACCATATCTTTCTTCTCCACCCTAAATTCGTAAATCTCTAAACCCTACTCGGGTTGTATTACCCCACTTTCATGCCTTCAACCATCTCCCCCCGTCGCTAGGCTGGTCCTCCTACTCTTAACTCATCAGAACCAATACCAATTATTTGTTATCCACATCTCAATGTAGTGCAGTAGTGACGAGAATAGTTTTCCTGAATCTCGGGCAAAGGGTAAAGAGGGGTTCAAAAGTGAGGAGGCTGGCGATGAAGGGGGCTGGTTAGAGACAGTTGAATCGAGGACAGCAGCGAAAGTTGGCTTTAGGATTTAGGGAGTTTGGAGAAGAATGAGGGAGGACGTTTTGATCATTGAGGAAGCAAATTGCAAGAACATTAAGATGTGAGGGACTTGTGAGCAACTTTAAAATATTTGAGGGACTAATCTAAAAATATTGTAAGATGAGTGACTAATATCTAAATAACCCTTTATTTTATGGGTTTATTGGTCTATAAACCTAAGATTTCACGCATGTTTATTTCTAAATCCATGCAGTTCTAAAGTTACCCTTACGCCCAACGTAGCTCACCGATTTATTGTAAACTCAATTGTATATTTTTGAGCAGCTTGCTGTATAGTAACAACTTTGGAGTTAATTATAATACTTATAGCAAAATATAGCAATCCATAACAAAACAACATCGTACATTAAATGTTGAAATATAAAATGAGTTTAAAAGGATGGTTTGGGTTTGGGAGTGATTTTGTTGAGTATAAAACTAAACTTGAGCTTTTGGGCAAAACCGTAATTTTAGTGTTTTTCTTGTGGGATTTGGTTTTGACTTTTGAGGGTCGCTAAGTGTTGACGGTGCATTGCTTTTTATAAGGTGCTCTTGCTAGTACTTACGGTTTTGGTTGGTGATGGTTTGGTGGAGGTTTAAGAACATCTCCAACCCAAAAATCCAAACTAATGTAGTTTTTACATCAAGTTGGTGTGGTTTTTACACCAAATTATTATTCCATCTCCAACCATTACACCAAATTTTACACCAAAAAGAATATTCATTTTATTTACAAACTATAAAATGGATATAGTTGGAATATTTGATTTGTTATAACAAACTATAAAGGCAAACTTGGGAAAAACTAAAATCTCCATATCTACAGTGCTGCGCCAAATCTGGCACATGTAGCACCTCATCAAAATAGCGCTGAATTTACAGTCCGGTTGGAGGAAGATTTAGCGCAGTTTTTGCTCCATTTTGGGTTTTTGGAGTTGGGTTGGAGATGCTCTAAGGGGGTTTATGAGGGTTGATTAAGAATTTACGGTTTAGGTTGGTGATGGTTTGGTGCAAGTTTAAGGGGGTTTATGAGGGTAGATTAGGAATTGACTTGGTATGATTAATTATCTTTCTGATAAACAAGTCGTTTGTAATGTACTATCCTTAACAATAATAATAATAATAAGGAAATAATGTGTATGAGATGACACTCACTTTGCTAATGAACTACGAAAAGATAGTCATATGACGAGACTCACCTTGTTAGTCACATCAAAAGGTATGGATCCCACCTCGCCACTCTTTATCTTTCAGTACCCTATTTAGTCAGATAAGCCTCCCGATAAACAAATTGTTTGTAAAGTACTCTCCTTAATAATAATAATAATAAGGAAATAATATGTATGAGATGACTCACTTTGCTAATGAACTATCAAGAGATAGTCATGTGACAAGACTCACGTTGCTAATCACATCAAAAGGTGTAGAGTCCATTTCACCACTCTATCTTTTAGTACCCCACCACTTCATACCCATTATTCCCTAATAATAATAATAATAATAATAAAACAAGTAATAAAAAATAGAATATTGAGAATGATTATCACCGCACTCACAGGCTGAACTTTGATAACATAAATCATTTCTGATCATCTCAGATCAAAATGTATATATGGCTTAAAGTTCTTTTATTAAAATAGAACGAAGCAGGGATTACAGCATAATCCTCCTTGAACCATGTTTCTCATATTTCTTGAGATCAAGCGAAATAAAGCCCTATAAACTATTTAGAAGTATTTGTCTAAGATCAAAATACAAGCTGACTTATGTATGCAAAGTAGAACATCAAACTCATAACCCATATGTTCCTGATGCTACAATTTGTGGCTCATACCGCATGTGTACAAAAGCTATGATGCTGTGTTGATTGATGCATTGCAGCATTGGAGATTGCAAAACATTTGAATGTGGAAGAACTTCAGAAACCACTCAATAGTCATCACCTCTGGAGATAACCTCCTTGGAAGTTGGCCGGAGCAAAATCGTGTGCTCAAACTGAGAAACATAGCTTCCTTTTACATCGCACAATGGAGGATACGGCTTCAAAAGCAATGCACAAATCAAACAATGGAGGATAATGTTACTTGAAAGAACAAGAAATTTCAATACTTGAAAGAACAGTCGCATAATATTTACATACAACAAAATTGACGTAATGGCTAAGATCCCCAACTGAATATTATGACGAATAGCTATGTGATTCTCTATATACAATAAAAGTAAGGGTAAAAGTAATGGGCATAAAAATAGGGTACAAGGAGCTTTAATGAATTTGGCTGCAATCAACTCGGATGAAGATAAAAGTGAGAAGGCATCTTGTGCTCAGAATTAGGGAAGCAAATTGATTTCGGATCCCGAGTTAGAAGAAATTAACTATTGCAAAAAATGTTTAAAATTAACAAGATATGTGCGTATGTATGATTCAAATGAAGCGGGTAGAGTTATTGAGGCATATACTGACAAGGCGCTGCATCTTTTTTCCAGAATTACACAGAACAATAAGACTTGTTGAAAAGGAAAAGGGAGTTTCGGTCAGAAATTATGTGCAATTTAGTATTTGCTTAATCAGATAAAGAAATAACAGAAATAAATTAACTAATAACATCTAATGCTTATGTTCTCCTTTCTGTTCATTTTAATTCTTTTTCTTTTCTAATTACTGGGTTTAAAGCTTCCCACAACCCAATCCCACTCCCCACCTATCGCTGAGAATAGACTGTCAATCATCCATATTTACCTTAAATACTTAAATATACACTCTTGGCTGAATAATTGAAAATAAAAGCAGCAATACATACCTGAACAATGCCAGCATCGCACAAGTTCTTTAGCGCCATTAAGTACTTTGTCTCTCCAACGCGGTCTAGGTAACGCCGGCAAAAGGCCAAAGTCGAAAAGTGTTTGTTAATTGTTCCAAGTAGTTGCTTAGCTCGAGGCAACCTTAATGGTACATGGCCAGCATCAAAGTTCTTCATGTAATGGCTGCACTCAAGGTCTTCCCTAACATATCCTTTGCCTACAAAATGAAACATGTAATAGCATTAATGAGTTTGAAGTCACATGATTCTCTTGGATGCATTGTCTTCGACATATTAACTTAGCTATGTAATTATTATAAGCTACATCTAGAGTAACAAGTTATACCACAAACACTACATTACATGGTTGAGCAGTCAATATACCTGTTGAACCAAAAGTCTCAATAGCAAAAAATTCACCCTCCTCCATCTTTGTCTGCTCACCACCTTTTACAATTGGAACAGACTTTCCAGCATGTATTTGGTAAGGCCCTATGCTATGTCCATTCAAATTCCGAATACTTTTAACTGCAAAATGGTAAAAAAGAATCTCCTAAGGAAGCAACATATAATCAAATGATGAAGAATTTTAATGCTCAATATCAGATTTATTGACATAAAGTAATGAAACAAGATTTGTACACAAGATCAATAGAGCCAGTCAACCAAATATATCAGATCAGCTCATCGAGCAACTTAAAACTTACAAATAGCTATCAAATATATAATGTGAAACAGTTAGATGTGTGTTTCGAAGGAAACAAGAGATTAATATTACCATCCCCATGTTATATTAAATATATCATAAGAAAATTTTAAGAAAATCACTCAAAATTTTGTACCTTGGAACACTTTCCCATTAATTTCAACCTCATATGATTCCATAACCTCTTGGATTGCAGCACCAACATCACAGAGTCGCACATCTATTCCAGATTCCTATGTATGCACAAATGAGATATTAATAGAAAGAAATAGCTGGAAGACAATATCTTCATAATAAGTCATTATATTATCTTTTTCTTATGAAGCTTCAATAACTTCTGACAAACATATTAATCTGCATAAGTGAACAGAGCCTAGCGTTGAGTGTAAACATGCTCCAGTTTTGTGTCCCCTTCACAAGAGTAATGATTCAAGTATAGATCTTAGTACACTGCAACAAGGAAATCATTTATCATTTTCTCATGATTATGTTTGATAGGTATTATGTGATAGCATGTGTTTTAAAACTACCAGACATTGTTCTCATCCAATGCTCAAAATCCGATTCATATACACCGGATATACTATGTATATGCATCACATTTCTTCATTCTGGCTGTTCAGTATAGCATCATTTGGCAGACTTTAAGTGAACATAAGGAATGACCGAATGAGAACTGTCTGAAAGTCCTCAAGAACGCATTTCTTGTTATTAAAACTACATTTCAAAGTAGAATAGAAATGCTTTGGTCTTGCAGGGATGGACATGCTAAAAATAAATTGAAGAAAATATTAAATGATACAATTGCAAATTTAGTTTCTGTAGAGCCACCAAAAATTTGCCTATATTAGACTCAATCTACTTGTAGATTTTTAAATGATCTTTTTCACTTTCCCGTTGGATTTAACTGTCTTGGGTGTGTTATGCAAAATGGCTTCTTTTCGTCAGGACATAGCTTCTGTGCACTTTTTCCTTTGTCTAGGATTAGATGGCTGACAACATGGGTTCTCGCGTAAAAAATTGCAAACAGCTACCATGCAGAAGAGAAGTGTGCTAAGAAAATTACCTGAAACTATGAACCTCCTACGAAAAGCATTAAAGTTAATAATCCTTAACTAAAAAAAAAAGAAAATACCGTTAGACCATCTTTTTCTTTCCTCTTCTAGGTTGATGTCTTCTGTGGTGGTGGTTTTTTCTCCTCTCTTGTGCGTATGCGTATTATTGGGTTGTGTGTGGGTGGATTCTTCTGTGGTGGTGGTTTTTTCTCCTCTCTTGTGCGTATGCGTATTATTGGGTTGTGTGTGGGTGGATGGGGGGTGGTGGGAATTGTATTGGTATGCAATTTGATAGGAAAACTTGGGGGAACAAAACCCAACACAAACATAGATACATGCACAACCACATGCCCCACATCCCAGAAAGAACCTTTTTTTAATGCATATGTTAGCATCTGCCTTATATAGTTAACAAAAAGCACGTGATTGTTACTTCATACGCAAAGATACGAGGAGATTCCCCAGAAAGCAGTTGTTTTTCAAGACTTAATTATAAAGGCTTCATAATCATCAATATGAACTGAAACCACATACATCTGTCTCTTAAACCACAAGCACAAACTGCGGATAGCTATCATCATGCCTAAACATAATGGTTATCCTTCCACTTGTGCCCAGCTTAAGCTTAAAAAGACGCATGCAATTGAAATTTTAAAATGCATAAACAAGATATAAAACATGCCTTAATTCCAGTATTTGTAGCTTCACGTGAAGCCTCCAGCAACGGGTCAAACATGGGATTGAATGCCACTGTAAATGCACAATCAATTATATGCCCTGAAAAAAAAAGCCATGATGTTCAGGGATGATATTTATATAGACAGATTTTCATTTATAATGGCAAAATCAACTTATGCTAATTATCATTATATGTGTTTGTGTCAGAAAGCAATCACATGGTGATGCAAAAGACTAGTAGGACAAGAATATAGAAGAATGTAGATAGTACCATCAACTTGTGTTCCAAAATCTAACTTCATCACATCATCATATTGAAGCACAGTTTTATCACCAGAATTAGGCGTCCAGTGTGCTGCGACCCTAGTAAAAAAAATCCTGCATAAGTTGTTGATCTAGAACAGATAAGTAAGAACTAATGATGTTAAAAGATATTACCAGTTTAAAGAGCATCCTGTTGGAAACGCAATGCCAGCATCAAGACCATTCTCTTTTATTAGTTTCCGAACCATATTTTCCAAAGTTTCACACATGTCAATCATTAGCATTCCAGGCTTAATAATACTCCTCATGTATTTCCGAACCTAATCATCAAGAAGACCTTTTCAAATGTGATAGAAGCAAATGAGGGAAAATACGAGGCATACAGTGGTCAAAGTAAATTGGATAGAAACCAAGTGGTCAACTATGAAATATAATGAACAATCTATATTTCTAGGCAGGTGTCTATTAAAAGCATGCAGGAGGGATCAAACCTGTCGGTGAACTTCTGCTGCTCGGCGCACTGAATTGTAGATGGGTTTTTCTAGGCGCTCCAGCTCTCTCTTTTCTTCAGAAGTTGACCTCCATAAGTTACTGGTCAGAAAATTACACCAAATTAAGGAACATTTCACTTAGTTCTAAGATAAACATTCAATTTTTATCTTAATAATAAGATATTGGAAAATTAGCAGAAATAATTTGACAATTACAAAATGCAAATGCATCCTACGAAACAACGAAAGGCCCAAGCAACCCTCCCATTCATTCGTATGTTGTTTTTTATCTCAAGTAAGAGTCATTACAAAAAAGCTGCTTCTAAAATTTTAATACAGTAATTTCATATCCTTCCTACAATTAATGCTAATGCAATAGCTATAGAGGAGGGCAGACAAGAAAGTTGCAGCCCAAGTACCTATTATCCATGGTTTGAGTGACAAGAGCACAGATATGAGCTTCAGACATGGAACTAAACAAAAATAAAAAAGGTTCCAAGAAAGGTTATGTTCTAGGTCGTTTGTATTTGTGCAGGACCACAAGCATGAGTACACAAATCAAGATCAGCAGCATAAAAAGCTAGTAATTATGTTCTCTGCAAAGTGCTCATGTCTATGAACGTGTGCATAAAAGTGTAAAAGGCAAATGGACTTCCATGCTACTAGGAATATCCAAAAAGAGCATGTAGAGTGACCTAAGTGCAGAGTTTACATGTGCTTAGCTTTATCAAATCATTACTGGTTTATATTTTCTCTCCAACTTTTAACAGCTGCTGCCTTGCCACAAGCTTATTAAATGGCATACGATATATTCACAAGTGAAGTAGATAAAAAAGACAAATAGTACGTAATAAAACCATTACTTGTAATGAAACTTAGTACTTACTCATCCTTGTATTGTTGAATTTCACCTTCTGGGAAGTCACCAGAGGGAAATAGCTCATCCACTGGAATTGATGGTGGATTAGTCTGGGTAGCTGATTGCCTCAGACTTGGAGAATCGGTCTGTCCAATAGGTTCCTTCTTTTTCCTATGAGCAAAACCATCATAGTTACATGATAAGAAACTCTAAACCTGGAATACAATAACAAAATTTGAACTTTCTAAAATAGGGCACCTACTTTGTTCGTTTCTTCTTCTTCTTTTTTGCAGCTTCTGGTACAAAGATCAAAATCAAGTATTAAAAATATACATAAGAAATTAAAATCTCATGCTGAAACAAGAACGATATACAATGACAAAAATAACAAAGGTTTTATCCCAATTTTTCAGGTCGGATACATGATTCTTGATTTTCAGTGTTTACTTAGGGATATCTCCCCTGTTAAGTTAATCATTATCATACCCTTCTAAATTGTTTTCAACCAAGTTCTCTCATCTCCAGTTGCTCCATTAAGATAATGTTAATATTTATCCTAATTAATACTTCATATACGAAGATCCGCCAAGGTCTTGTGCTAGCTGTTGGCTATCTAACACAACCTCTTCTTTTATCGTGGCAAACATTGAAGCACAACGCTTGCAGAGTTATCTAAGAACAATATAAACAAGATAATACTCTAGAAAAGTCAAGTTCACAAGTAACTAATAGTTTATAGAAAAAGAGAAATAAGTCATACAGCTCCTAAAAGATATCCTGAAGCACATCATATCCACTTTCTGCAAACTGCAATTGATCAGTTGATGTAATAGGTTAGGCAATTAATTGAGTCCAGGGAAATCATTGTCACCCTGTATTTAGCACCAGAAATACGAAGCAAATATGTCGAAGCTCTATTTAAGTTTTACCTACTGAATTCATTACCATTAAATTTCACCAAAACCAATACTTTGTGAAATTTTAGCTTAGAAACACATTTGATAAACAGCTGATAACGTTGACATTCAGAGAAAGCTTGTACTTTCATAAATTTGATTTTGATTTTAATACCTCTTTGACCAGAGCCTATGATGGACGCTTAAGACACATCTGGTGGTTCCCAGAGGTGTTAATAATCAAGAAAACTAATTAATTAAATGATAATATCAATTGCACAATAAAAAATGTTAAAACAATAATAGTAGTAAGATTAATTTCACACTTCTAAGCTTCAATAGTTCTTTTCAGGTGTCCTTGAACCCACACTGGAATGACTAAGATGCTGTTTGCATTCTGTTTCCTTCTAAATCAAAGGTCATAATTGATTAATTGATAAGAAGATGAAGTAACACATATAGCTGGTCCATGAGGAGAATGTAAAATACGCACTGCGTAGGAGTCTTAACTCATAGGCATTAGTATATATATTTAATTAAACAAAATTGAAAATTCTTATATAGATATCTTTCAAGAAAGCAAATAATGATAACTATAAAAAGTATGTTTCAACACATTTCTATATGACAATAGACCTTTCAAGAAAGCAAATAATGATCATAACTATAAAAAGTATGTTCAACACATTTCTATTTGACAACAGACCTTCCACTCAATCCTATCCGTAATAAAAGAAGTTATATGTGAAATTATAACATACAAGGCTTCCAACATCTAACCTGGTAATCCATCTGAGCCATCAACTTGTGTCTCTTCTTCATCATCTTGCAAAGGGGACTGAGGTTTGCAAGCTTGACCATTGTTATCCTGAAATATTACATATTTAGCTCCTTAACTAGAAATACATTCTGCATATTGACCCATGCCGACCCCACTTCACAAAAAGATATGTTGTAAATCAAATATATTAATGTTGTGCATAAGAAGTATGCTGTGCTTTATCAAAAGATCATTTATTAACAGTACCTGTTAAAATTACAGATTAAAAGACAAATGACAAATGACCAAATCCCTTTAAAGTATTGGCAAACTCTCAACTTCCCCCTTAAAGTATTAATTTGCCTATTTTATCCTTAAACTATGTGTATGTCCCAATGTGGTCATTTTCTTAGCCCGTGGCCAAACATTTAGCAGATGTGTTTTTTTTTTCTATTCTTTTTCCCCCCTTAACCTAACCTAGCCCGAAAGTGAACCCGAGATGGTGGGAACCATATTGAAACCTCCCAACCACCCGGATCACCCATGATGGGTGCATTTCTTGTATTTCTGCATTTCAAATAAAAATGATTTTCCATATTCCGGAAAAAGGAATAAAGGGCAAAATTTTATGGAGGAAAGTAGTTGAAATTTTATTTTGGGTTGGCAAAAACGAATCAAATTGATAAAAACTCATGAAGAAATGCAAAAAAAAAAAAAAACATTGTCACGTCATTGATTTGTTAAATACTTGACTGTCACTCACAAAATGACCACATTAATCACATACACATAGTTTAAGGGGAGGAATAGACAAATTGATACTTCAAGGGGGAAGTTGAGAGTTAACCAATACTTTTAAGGATGAATGGTTATTTTGTCCTAAAAACAGTTCAAGTTTAAGGTAGTTGTCCAAGTAGCAGAAAGATAAAATACAATTGTCTGGGTTTAGAATTCACATGTTTCTCAAACTGTGGTTCCAGGTTCTATATTACCAAATAGTACATACAACTACAAAAGGCTTTGGTTAGGTTGTCATAAGTCTAAGGTCTTAGGTACAAATTTTGGACAAAAACTTTTCATTTCAGCATTAAAAAAAGACGATGCTCCAAAAGGTAACATGCAAAGAAACAGTACAGGTGATATTTATGATCCTCACATCAGATGTTAAACATGGTATGTTCACTCACAGTTCCTCCATGTGTATCAATATTAATTCAAATCCGTATATCAATTGTCCTTCAGCCATTGTGACCTAATCGAAATCATGGATCAACAGTACTCCCTTAAAGAATAACTAAAGAGTAGCACATCTATCACACCTTCAAACTCTACTACTGAATTCATTACCATTAAATTTCACCAAAACCAATACTTTGTGAAATTTTAGCTTAGAAACACATTTGATAAACAGCTGATAACGTTGACATTCAGAGAAAGCTTGTACTTTCATAAATTTGATTTTGATTTTAATACCTCTTTGACCAGAGCCTATGATGGACGCTTAAGACACATCTGGTGGTTCCCAGAGGTGTTAATAATCAAGAAAACTAATTAATTAAATGATAATATCAATTGCACAATAAAAAATGTTAAAACAATAATCTTCAAGCTTTTTATATGATTTCCATGAGCTCTGCATATTTTTGTTTGTTGTTGCTGAATGTAAAATACGCACTGCGTAGGAGTCTTAACTCATAGGCATTAGTATATATATTTAATTAAACAAAATTGAAAATTCTTATATAGATATCTTTCAAGAAAGCAAATAATGATAACTATAAAAAGTATGTTTCAACACATCCCCCCCCCCCTTCTTCTTCAAGCTTTTTATATGATTTCCATGAGCTCTGCATATTTTTGTTTGTTGTTGCTGAATGTAAAATACGCACTGCGTAGGAGTCTTAACTCATAGGCATTAGTATATATATTTAATTAAACAAAATTGAAAATTCTTATATAGATATCTTTCAAGAAAGCAAATAATGATAACTATAAAAAGTATGTTTCAACACATTTCTATATGACAATAGACCTTTCAAGAAAGCAAATAATGATCATAACTATAAAAAGTATGTTCAACACATTTCTATTTGACAACAGACCTTCCACTCAATCCTATCCGTAATAAAAGAAGTTATATGTGAAATTATAACATACAAGGCTTCCAACATCTAACCTGGTAATCCATCTGAGCCATCAACTTGTGTCTCTTCTTCATCATCTTGCAAAGGGGACTGAGGTTTGCAAGCTTGACCATTGTTATCCTGAAATATTACATATTTAGCTCCTTAACTAGAAATACATTCTGCATATTGACCCATGCCGACCCCACTTCACAAAAAGATATGTTGTAAATCAAATATATTAATGTTGTGCATAAGAAGTATGCTGTGCTTTATCAAAAGATCATTTATTAACAGTACCTGTTAAAATTACAGATTAAAAGACAAATGACAAATGACCAAATCCCTTTAAAGTATTGGCAAACTCTCAACTTCCCCCTTAAAGTATTAATTTGCCTATTTTATCCTTAAACTATGTGTATGTCCCAATGTGGTCATTTTCTTAGCCCGTGGCCAAACATTTAGCAGATGTGTTTTTTTTTTCTATTCTTTTTCCCCCCTTAACCTAACCTAGCCCGAAAGTGAACCCGAGATGGTGGGAACCATATTGAAACCTCCCAACCACCCGGATCACCCATGATGGGTGCATTTCTTGTATTTCTGCATTTCAAATAAAAATGATTTTCCATATTCCGGAAAAAGGAATAAAGGGCAAAATTTTATGGAGGAAAGTAGTTGAAATTTTATTTTGGGTTGGCAAAAACGAATCAAATTGATAAAAACTCATGAAGAAATGCAAAAAAAAAAAAAAACATTGTCACGTCATTGATTTGTTAAATACTTGACTGTCACTCACAAAATGACCACATTAATCACATACACATAGTTTAAGGGGAGGAATAGACAAATTGATACTTCAAGGGGGAAGTTGAGAGTTCACCAATACTTGAAGGATGAATGGTTATTTTGTCCTAAAAACAGTTCAAGTTTAAGGTAGTTGTCCAAGTAGCAGAAAGATAAAATACAATTGTCTGGGTTTAGAATTCACATGTTTCTCAAACTGTGGTTCCAGGTTCTATATTACCAAATAGTACATACAACTACAAAAGGCTTTGGTTAGGTTGTCATAAGTCTAAGGTCTTAGGTACAAATTTTGGACAAAAACTTTTCATTTCAGCATTAAAAAAAGACGATGCTCCAAAAGGTAACATGCAAAGAAACAGTACAGGTGATATTTATGATCCTCACATCAGATGTTAAACATGGTATGTTCACTCACAGTTCCTCCATGTGTATCAATATTAATTCAAATCCGTATATCAATTGTCCTTCAGCCATTGTGACCTAATCGAAATCATGGATCAACAGTACTCCCTTAAAGAATAACTAAAGAGTAGCACATCTATCACACCTTCAAACTCTAGAAACTTAAGGCCGTCTTAAGATCTCTCAAGGACTCCATACATGTTACAATTTCATCATATTCCTCTCATTAATAGATGTTTTGATCTACCCATGTATGAAAATGGTTGCTATGAGAACATTATACTTGGATGTCTCCAATGACTTCTCCCAAAATTAATAACAATCCCTTAAGCTTCTCTCATTCTTTAAAGGTTGCATGTAATTGATCTCTAAGGACAACAGGTTGGAATATGTCTTAACTTATTTTGAGATTTAATTGTCAATCAATTGAATTAACAAAGTGGGTTATCGGATTAGTTTAGCACCACATAGAATAAATAGAAAGATTGTCAGAGTGGCTAATGAGATTAGGACCAAAGAGCTAAATACAGAATTCTGCTTTCGGATCACATGGGTTGTAAGATAGTTACCGCTCCAACTTTAGCAAGGCGATCATCATAATATTTAATTTAAGGAGAGAAAAAACATAACCCTCCCTTTCCATCAAAAGCACAAAATTCACAACTTGTTTCAGTTGGGAAAAAAGATACTCTTGAAAGATCCTACAATTTACGGTATTTGATAAGTGTATGGTTCTTGTTTTCTCTTGTACATGACGAGAATGCAATTCCTGCTCAATATGAAACCCCTTCATTGAGACAAGTACCTTTCGGAAAATGTATAAGGAAACCCAACTAAATTACCTCAGCTACACCATTATACCAAACGGAACAGTAGGCTAAAGCTTTTCTTCTCTTTCGTATAAATTGTGGTAATTAAGTAATCTCTACATAAAAACCCAGGTTTATGCCAGAGTTTTTTTTCGCATTCGAAAAGAATTTATTTTATTTTTCACTTTCTGTTTCTTTTTTTACCGAAGATTGCAGCCAAGTTTTGGACATAGAACCTCCATAATCCAACTCTCTGAGTCTGCTCTACCATAGAATGACTAGAAAGAAGTGCTTAATTTTCATAAATGAAGTTAGCTCATGTTATTGATCTCAAAGAAGAAACAAAAAGGAACTCAAAGACCAATTCTTTTTCGTGCTACGGACTGCTCTTTTCTTTGTAATTTCTCACCTATTTACAAGGGTGGTAAATACAAAACAAAGAGAAAGGGATTCAGCAACTCACCTTAAAATTTTCTTCCTGGTTATTTCTCCTATTTGTCAGTAGAATCACATAATATTTAATTTGACTTCATTTGTCACTATTTTAAGCCAATTAAACTTTTCAAGTAAGCTCAAACGAAATCAACAAAACAAACAGGAGACAACTGAACATGCTTGATATGCAAAAGAATGTGAAGCATGATACATATTTAACTTAGAACTTGATAAAGACAAAAGACAAACTTTGTGATTGCCAAAGTAGGGCAACTGTCCCATCTTCAACACACAATGCTCTTTTTATCCTCCATAACAAATAGCACCAAAGAATCATCCATCCTCTCCGTGTTTTAGGAAATGCTCTTTCAGTAAACATCATGTCTTTTTAATCACTGTTGCATGTTACATATGTCTTCAACCATTCAACCATGAACACCCGTAGCTAGCTCATGTGACATTCTAGAAAACCTTCTGTTTCCTTACTCCTATCCCAGTCTTCTTGGATGTCCAAGCTTCTTCAGTCAACTATTTCGTCTCAACTAAAGAACATTATTTTCTGAAGTCATTTGGTTCCAACTCTTAAAGTTCATTTTAAAAATGCTAATTTCTTGATGACCCGCTAGCTAAAGCAACAGCTAATTGAAACCACTGGCAGGTGGAAAATAACCAAATAACTTATAACCGATTTATGATAAAAACTGCAGAGACTAAGACCTAAAAACACAATGCTGAGATGAGATCAGGTGTCAATGTTAAGCCTCCTAAAGCAATCTAAGAAAAAACAGTCTATGCAAAATATTTAACAACATAAATCTGTATCAAAATATTAACCTGAATTTCTTGTTCTCCAACGTGCAATTCCTTTAAATTGGAAAACGCCTCCTCAACTATTTCAGATTCACTTCCAACCATATTTTCTTTCTCCTTAACAATCCAACTGCGTTCTGCTTATTACCTTTAAAAAAAAGCAGATATTATAATTATTACGGTTGATGTTGCAACCAGTGTGTGTAGATTGTAGATAAATTTTCATGAGGATCAGTAAATATCAATAACATGCTGTCAGGCCACATTCTGACAGCATGGCTTTAAAAGAAATACTAAACATTATTTAAGCCCAAAAGAGAGTGTGTGTATCAATGTTACAGAAGGCGCTAGGCGAACTAGGCGTTTGAGACAGCGCTCAACCCCTAGACGCCTAGGCGTTTGGCTACTTTTTAAATTATTTAATTGCAATAATTGATAAAAATATGTATTAAATTCATATAAATTTGTAACAAAAAAGATAGCAATCTTAGATCCACAATAAATCATGAATACTTAAATATCAAATAGCAAAAATAATAACTAACAAGGTTATAGAAAGCACTAGAAGGCCTAGGCGTTGGACCCGACGCCTAGAGCATGTGAGGTTTTCTTTTTTATTTTTTAATTACAATGATTGAGAGTAAATATCAATGTTAAACAAAGCTTAGGTGATGAACTGGTGTCTAGGTGAATTTCTTTCCTTATTTAAGTGATGGTCGAGAAGATTTTGCTGAAGGTCAAAGGAGCTAGTAGAGGTGTTTACATTTGGAGGTTAAAGGAGTTTAAAGGAGGTTAGAGGATGTGGAGATTACAATACAGAAAATCACGATCAAGACCTAGAGGATGTAGTCCACGTAAGCAGACAATGCTCTCCTAAACACTTCCAAAACCTAGGTGGGCAACATAGGTACCACCCAAGTGCTAGTCGCTAGTTAGGTGGCCTAGTTACCGCTTTGGCCTATGCGTACACCTAGGTGGACTAGATGGAGGCTTTTTAAAAATAGTGATACACACCCGAGAGCACACAAAAAACAAAAGAAAAAAGAAAAAAAGAACTGCCAAGCAAGCAACCATTCATGTAAACTAAAAGCAATCTTCTAATATGAAATTCACACACTAAATTGGAGCTCCAAGCAACTTCCAATGTTTGCTTCCAAGTAATCTTCTAATATGAATTAATTTAACTATTTGGGTTAAATCTTTAAAGTCCCTTCATTTCATAGACAACAATAAAAAATTCTTTCAAATTTTTTTTTATTTGTATGAATACGAACAACTCAAAGAGGAGAATACAAACAATAACGAAGCTTACGCAAAGATAACAACTTTTTATCTATTTGTACGAATTCAAACAACTCAAAAGAGGGATTTTAACCATAAAAAGATTCAAATACAAAAAGAGCTCATGAATTAGCATTTGAAATAGAGACAAGCATCACTAGAAATTGGATTAAAACCTAATCAAGGAGAAGGATCGAGTTACCTGCGGATGATTGAGGCACAGCTTGTCTCTGATTAGGCTTTTTGAGGAGAGAGAACTGATAACTTTATTATGGCGATAGAATATGAAGACCGAGTCCATTGGGTATTTAACTGTTGAGCGTTAAAATGAAACGGAGCCTATATTGACTAGTCGGACTAATGCGGCCCGGTCCAATGTTGGGCCGGAATTGCCAGCGAAGGCCCAGTTGTATACTACTACAGTTATGGCTAGGGGTGTTAAAAGGAGGGGATATGATTCGGATATGACACTTATAATATACATACACATATCCGTTTTATATAAAAATATACGGATACGGATTATCTTCTGTAACAAAAAAAAACTTTAATCATATCCGCGCTCATCAGAAACGGATACGATTCAAATATTTAAGAATCGGATCGGATACGATCACGAATATGAAACGGATATTCACTTTTTATTTGATTTTATTTTCACCTAATCCCTTTCCGTTCTTTACAAATTGGTCCAAATTTAGTGCAGTCTTTGGGAGTCTTTGGTTCCCAATATTTCGAAGGCTTATTATATCTTGAGCAACACATCAAGCTAATGGCGATATGAAGATAACCCTAGCGTTAAAAAGAAAAAAAGCTCTTAATTCCTGGATTTCATAATTTTTCCAACATATAAAAAAGAGTTAAAAGGAGACAAAACCAAAAGAAATCACAATCAAAGCAAATTTAACCGCAAGATCTCGAGAGTTGCATTTTCCCACCAGAACAAGAAACCAAAAGAACGGGGGAAAAAACCAGTCAAGAAATCATCAACAGACCTCCAATCAGTCAAAACAACTGGCCTAGGCGAACTAGCCGAAGACGAGGCGGGATCTGACGAAGACGACGCGGGCTGGCCCGACCGACCGAGGCGGGCGAACCTGGACTGAGGTGGGCGAACTGCCCGAGAACGAGCAGGTGAACTGGACGAGACGAGCGAACCGGCCGAGACGACGCCGGCAACGGCGGACGACGAGACCGGGGCGCGGGACCTGGGAACGGCCGAAGAGGACCGGGCGCGGGTCGGGAGTCTCGGGGATCGTCGGGGTTGTAGAAATTTTGGTGGAGTGGGGGGCTGGATATCAAGTGGAGGCTAGGGTTTTTTTTGTTGGGTTTTGGGTTTGTTAGGGTTACGGGTTTGGAACTTTGCATACGATCCGAATTTTATGTTTATTAAATTATGTCTTATATTCGTATCTGAATCCGTATTCAAAAAAAATCAAAACCAGATCTGTATCTAAAACTATATCCGTCCGGTTTTAAAAATAGCTTATGATATCTGTATCCGTTCGGAGACGAATGCGGATCGGTTCGGATAAAACCCAACCGTTTGGCACCCCTAGTTATGACTCTTTTGTTAATACGAGGAAAACTTCACAACACCCCCAAATTGCCCAGCCCATTATGAGAACAACCCGGCGGACTTTTAGAAATGTGGCTTCGTTCTGAAAGTTTTTAAGGCGTCCACAAAATCCAAAATGTTTCAAGCTTTTTTCACGCGAACTTCACAATCCCCCCATTTTTCAACTTTATTGTCGGAAAACCCCTCAGAATTTCAACGTTCTTGAGAGAAGAAACCTAAGCTTTTGACATTATTATCAGAGCCCCGATGGAGGTTGGTAAAGTTTCAGAAAACTCTCTATGTACTCTGCTAAGAGGATGTGCTCAGAAAGCTTCCTACCATGATGGGAGTTATCTCAAAATAAGCTCAACTTTTAGAGGCTTTTTATGAAATCCACCCTTAATACAATAATAAAGAGTTGGTTCCAATGAGAATCAGACTAGATGTTTCTTTACTATTGCAACTTGCTTAGTGAATATAAACCATCAATCGTTATTTATCGACGCATATAAAAAGGAAATAATATGTATGGTGAGCTAGCTCATTTTAGAATGAGATAAGACTTTTCTATTAGTCACATAAAAAGAGTAAATCTCCCTATTATTCTCCTCCTCCTCCTCCTCCTCCTTATTTTCTTTCTTTTTTAGCATAAAAATAAGCGAACATCCATTTTCATTTCATTGATTGGTAATAAAAGAAGGACACGAGAAAGTGTCGTACATAAGTATAAATAAAAACATATCATTTTTCCTTTGTTTATACGTAGGACCTTCTCCACAAGAAGTATATGTTGGGGTTATAACTTAAAACTTGATTTTGGAGTGGGGAAATTTAGTCCCACATTGGATAGGAGATGAGAATGGGGATTGTTTATAAGTCTTCCTTTTTCTCTCCTATGCCTAGAAGAAAACATGAGTTATGCTCCACACCACACACGCCCACACTGAACCAAATCGGTCGAGAAGATTTCGCAAAGTCTTGAAGATTTCGCAAAGCTTTCTTGAAGCTCGTGCCGACGAGAAGGAGGTTGCTTGACCGAGGGTCGTCGTATCTCTGAGATATATTGCCGCGTAGCCCTGTACGAGAGAGGACAATTAGATTCTTGGGACAGTGCCCTGCACGCTTCGATCATCAGACTATATTCTTAAACCTTGTTTAAATTTTTTATTCTTAATCTGCATTTCATGATAATTACAGTCTAAACAGCAAATAATTTCCTAACAGCATCAACGAGGGTGACGAGAAGACCCTAGCCGTCATTCGCCACAATGCTGATAATCTTATGGCCGAAAGCCTATAATTGACAAAATAAGAGAAAGAAAAGTTTCTACTCTGAAAAGATTAGAAGCGACAATACATAAGTGATAAGATATTTGCAAGTTGCAGTTCTAAGATACTAATTACAACTAATTACAATCAAGAAATGACCAAAAGTAAACCATGGCTCTTGTGTATGGTTTATATCCCACTTCTTCTTTCCTCATCTTCCACTTGTTGCCTCCTTCTTTGTTCTTCCTCCTCTACTTAGGTTGTGATAGACTCATTTGCCCTTTGTTTATTGTGTTATACTAGCTCTGTTGTGAGTCCCTAACCATCGATTGCATCCTTCAGCGTTTTTACTGCTTTCCCTGCTGAAGAGCATGTCCATGCATTTACATAGTGGATCACAGAATTAATAATGGTATCAACAGAAGGGGGTCATTTTGAAATTTTTTATTGTTGCGTGCATGCCATACGCACCGGCACGCTATTGGAAACACTGCTTGCCAGATGATTCTATTATTTGGAGATGTGAGGAATTGCGCTCTAGAGTGAATGAGGTCATGTAGGTTATTCGGCCATTCGGTGTGTGCAAATCTAGCTCTGAAGAAGCCTCAAACATTACTTGATAGTTGACAATTGAGGAAGAGATGCTCTAAGCCCTCCAACTCATTTAGGCATAGAGAACAAGCCAGATTCCCTTGTTCTTCATTTGTTAGTAACTCATTTAGCAAAATAAACTTTCAGCTCATATCCAACAAATCCTACATAGGTATTATATATAATATTCATTAAATAGTATGCATATAGTTAACATATGACACTAATATACCTTCTCATAATTAGAGATATATAAAACATTAACATATAATTAATATACTTGTGGATGATCCGTTCCGTTGAACTTGATCTACATATTCTAAAACCCCAACACACCAAGTTTGGGATGATACGATTCTTAAATACGCAGCAAGAAACATCTGAATTCCGAATAATATTTGTTAATAGTTCATCATCCACAAATATCTTCTGAACAATATCATATCAACATATGAGATGAATTAAGATTAATCAATTAAGAAGATAAGGAAGCAGCTGAAAGAATCATTACCTAGACAATGAAATCAACTTGAAATTCGATGGAAGCTAGATGCAGCCCTGGAGAGAGATTGCTCTTGAGGTATATATGGAATATAAATATTTTTCTTGGGGGTTTAGAGGCTTATATATAATTGGATGTTTGATTCTGATCCTTTTAGAATTTGTTATGATTAGGATAATTATACAATTTAAATGCTAGGATTTGATTAGGATTATGATAAATCATCATTAAACACAATTTAAAAATTAGAATTTTATTAGTGATAGGATAGTTCAAACTTTGTAGGGGTATTTTTATCTACAGAAAGATTTTCTCGAACTCGTGCTTTTAAAGGGGGTATGATTTTATTAGAGGACAAAGTAGTATTTAATCATCGATAAGTAAATCTGCTTACAAGCGTCAAGAAAATAAGGTGGGAAATCCTGACTTATTTTTTCCTTACCTATAAATTAAAAATAAGTAAATAAGTAAACTTTACCAAACATGGTTTTAGTAGGTACTTATTAAGTAAAAACTCACTTATAAGTTACAAATAAGCAAGTCGCCCACCATGCTCCAAGTCATAATCACTTTAACAATGAGACAATTTCAATGGTATTATACCGTCCCCGCTAATCTTATTCAACTTTCAATACAAAACAGTTTCGGTACCAAGTCCTTGAAGATGATTGACATCATTCATACTCTTCTCTAGTCCACAACTATTCTCTTTGCCAACAAAAATGGAAACTCAAAAAGCACACTACTAAAACCTTTAAAAGTTTCAACTAACCAAATCATAGACCGAGGGACATCAACTGCGGAATCCATTAGCAAGTAGTAAATGGCTGGTCTTCGCAGCACGCATACACAGATAGATCCTCCCCCACTCCTTGTTAATTTGTCATAGAAAAACCACTTCCTAAATCACAACCATTCGTCGATCTAAATCTGAAACAATTATGATCTTTTTTTTTTAAATTTAATAGTTGGCATCTCTCCCATGAATTGCTCTAGTTCCACCAGTTCTCGCAGATTCCAATGAAAGGAGAGCGAGCCTTGGCGCAGCTGTAAAGTTTTCGCCTTGTGAGCTAGAGGATAAAGGTTCCGTCTTAGAGCAAGTGCAGCAATGTCCTAGTAGGGAGCTCTTGTTGGAGTGCTCTCAAGCATGGGGCCCACTTAGGAGCTCCTTACTAGGAGAAATATTCCAACAAACTCCTAACTAGGAGTTCAAATATTATTTAAAAAATCCATTCTCCTAAAAATAACATTTTACAAATATATTTTAAAACAACAAATCTAATAAAAAAATAGTTTTTAATGGGCGCCCACCCCTTAGGAGCTCACAAGTGCTCCACAAATTTGTGGAGCTCTTAGGAGCTCCATGGTGGGCCCCACCGCCAACTAGGACTTGAGAGCTTTCTTGATAGCTTGTTGGAAGGTCTTGGGAGCTTTTCCTTGCCACATAGGACTTAGAGCAAGGGCAGCAAGCTCTGATCTCTGCTCTCAAGGCTGACGTGGCCGTGGAAGTTGGCAGCCCCCCCTCCAGCAAGCTCCTAACCGCTCCTAAGCGGGGCTCCTTAGGCTGACGTGACTGTTGAGAGCTTCCGAGCTCCCAAGCGCTCCACAAATTTGTGGAGTGGCTTGGAGGGGCTCCAACCTCGGAAGAAGGATTTTTGAGAAGCCGGCCCCCCCCCCCCCAACAAGTACACAATTGCAGAGTTGAAGAAGGGAGAGGGTTTGATTCGACGGCGGAGCTCGGTTGGGGAGATGAAGATGCTTGGGTTTGGGGCGACGGAGATGAAGAGGACTGGGTTTTTTGCTGAGCTGAAGATTTGGGGTGATGAAGATTTGGGTCGGCGCTTGGTTGGGGAGATGAAGATTTGGGGCGATGGTGATTATCTTGGTTGGGGAGATGAAGACGAAGGTTGGGGAGTGAAGATAAGGACGGATATTTTGCTGAGTTTTTTTTTAATTGGCAGCACAAGAGTTAATGTCCTTGAAAATGATGTCCTTGGAAATGATACTTTGAAGATAAAAGAAATAAATGAGCATTGAGAAAATGAACGTTCAAATGACCGTTGAGAAATGAAATAAATGAAGTAAATGATACGTTGAAAAATGACCGTTGCGAAAATGAACGTTAAAAAATTTGGCGTTAGAGTTGAAAAATAATGTCGTTGAACAGTAAAAAAAACTCTATAAATTCACAATTCACAATTCACAATCCACACAACTCTCTCATAAAAAAACTCTATATTTTCCTATCAAATTACAAATCTCATGGATCCCTCCCAAAACAACTACTATTCGCATCTCCTTACCGGTGAAGGATCGACCTTATACTCGCCGTATCCAACGGTTAGAAATAAAATACAAGAGGTTTAAATATAATTAAAAGTAATGGGTAAAATATTAAAATAGAAGAGGAGTTTTTTTGATATTGTTGGAGCTCCTAACTAGGAGCTTGTTGGAGCTCCATAAAAGAAGGAGTGCCTCCCAAGGCTTAATTTGTTAATTTTTTATTCTAAAATCCTTGAGAGCTCTTGAGAGCATGCTGACTAGGACTCCCAACTAGGAGCTTGCTGCACTTGCTCTTAGGAGACCCCTTGGGAGGCTGCTGCACTTGCTCTAAGAAACAGCCTCTTTTAACGTGGGGGTTAGGCCGTACGATGGCCCTCCCAGCCTCCACGACGACTGAAACGTCGTTCGCTAGGCCATCCTTTTTCACCTCAAAACATTTTCTCATCCACAATAGAGCCAAGATGAATAAGTGGATAGTACATTCCAATCCAGCATGCGCCGAGTGCGTAACATAAAAAAAATGACACAGGAAGGACCCTAACCAAGGGTATATACTCTCTCTCTCTCGAATCAATTAAAATTTATTAACACTGCACAATATGCCCACATTATCCTAATTAAATAACGTGTGTGAATCAACCATAGCACTCTTGGCTTTTACTAACACACAATGCACATAAAAGAGCAGAACCATTTCTATAGTTCATCAACAAATACATGCTACTCTTGCGTTTTGCCCTGTACTTTGATTTTAATTTTTTTTTTTGTTTACTCTTTTTTATCCTCAAGGGGTCTATCTTAACCCATTCCAAAGCCCATATTATAGGGGGGTCTATTTGCAATTAACCCATTAATAGAACAAACCCTCACAAGGATCACAACCACATGCTTTTAATGCCTAACCAACCACTCACCCACCTTAATAACGCCACGCTTGCAATGCCCGCAATAAATCCTTTTTTTTTTTTTACATTATTTACTCACAAAACAAGTAAACAAAAAAAAAAAAAACCCATCGATTTGCACCAAGAAAAATACCCATTACACTGCGCTGAATACTTTCGTTTTCTACCATCAAATCTTGATGACGACGAAAATAACAATAACAATAACAATAACAACACATTAAAAAAAGAAACATAATCACTAAAAAAACAAACCCCAAAGCAAACCAAGAAAAAAAAAAATTACCAACGAAATCAGAGGTGGCACCCCAAGCAGTTGCACGTCTTTGGGGTGAAGGAGCAAAACCCAAAGGGCCTATTGGGTATGTTGCAATTGATGGCATAACAGCAGGGGGAAGGCAAGCAGAGGCCCTTCGGACCCCCGCAGCAAGTGCACAGCGCGCATATCTGAAAGCCCCCGAGCCTCCTCCTACGGCTCTCACTCACAAGCTTTGACTGAAGAGCAGCCTGAGATCAAAAAGGCTGAAACTTTAGCACTGTAAATAAAAAAATAACCAAAATGGAGAAATGGGTGTTGGGGTAAGAGGGGATTGAGGGGGGGGGCCCACCTGGGCTGAGGCCGAATTGGGGGAGACCGAGGCCATGAAGAGGAGGAGGAAGAGGAGGAGGGATCGTTGAGAGGGAGAAGCCATTGGAGTTCGCTCCGCTCTTGTTGATGGCCGAGTATTTATACTCGTAGTGGCTTTTTCAGATGAAAGGGGATTTGGGGGCTTGGTTTATGTTTACGGGCCTCTGTTGATGTTCTCGCAGTGAAATGTTCTCTTTCCCAAAGTGGTTCCTTTTTTTGTCCACAGTTTGGTGGGGAATAGGTCGTAATGATCTTTAATAGCTTCCTTTGTTTTTTATGCGAGAGGTTTAAAGAGAGGACTGTTCTCCGTGGGACCACTGCTTGGGATTAGTTGGGCCGAGATGAGCCGGGTTAGGCCCCTTGGTTCGGATCCGATATGACTTGGGCCGGGCCCACCGCTGGTTTTGCTGCCTTGATCTTGCTATCTTCTCTGTCCGTCTCTTTGTAGTTTTGATTTTGGCATGATCTTGATAGATATTAGTTACTCCTGGATGGATTTAACGAGTCTATTTTTAAAAATAAGAGAGAAATAAATTGAGCCGGATGTCTAACAGAATCAAACTATAGGGATGGTAGGTTCAAAACAACAATACTATGAGGAATCTATGCGCAATCAACCCCAGAAAAAAAAAATAAAAGAACACAACTTAACAAAATAGGTTGCAAACTTGTTGAAACGTATGGAATCCAAGATTCACTAACATCAGATTATCGTCTCTCTCCAAACGAAAAGGAACTAGAAGTATGACAGCCGACTGTCGATGAGCATATCAAAGAAAATGGAGGGTATAAATACATTCGGAACCCTTTTAGTTCATCAGCAAAGAATGTACAAGACCGATCGAAAAAGAGAGCAAGAGAACGCTCTTGAAAACTGATATCCCACATGCAGCATCTTGACCTCGGTACGCTGAGGAACAGACAAATGTTGTTCTACAAATTTAAATTGGGTTAAATTTTCAAAATATCAAGGTATGCGGGCAGCAAATAATTCGCCAGAACATCTGATGAACATGTATCCTTCTTGCGAAACGTATGTCGAACATGCCTCGCGTTGCAGCAGTCTTCAGTTCAGTGTAATACAACTTACTCATTGCGTAGCCAAATCAGACACAAAAGGAACCAGAAGAAATCTACAACAAGAATCAGCAGGGTGTTATGTTTGCTTCATTTTCGAAGACCGACTTATTACATCCTTCTTGTTTTCAGGGTGTTATGTTTGCTTCATTTTCTTGAAGACTGACTTATTACATCCTTGTTGTTTTCCTCTTCTGACACATACACTCTACAGTTGCCTGAAGTATTGCCAGAGAAGAATCACACAGTATAGTTGTATCTATAACATGCGACAAGTAACGGTCACCTGGGAAAAGAAGAAGAAAATTTCCAAATACCCTATCCAGAGAACTTGATAAGCCAATACATGAAAGAGGAGAAATACTGGCCTGACTTGGATGGACCTTAGGGGGGGAAAGGATAAAAAGACATTAGAGGTGCAAGATCAAGATAGGAAAGATATGATCAAGAAAGATGATGAGATGGTAAACCGGACCTTTTACAACGTAAGATCCTTACAACGGCAAGGGATACTTTATCTTTCACCCTAAGAAATGGAACAGAAACAACTTTACAAGATGAATTGTTTGGAATATGGAATGGTTTTGCGCTTTTTAATCGTGTAAGAAGCTCTTCAGAATGAAAGAGTTGAATCATCATGAAAGACTGTACATCTCGCATTAGAAACTCATTTACATTTTTATCCAGGAAGAGTCAAGTAAAAGTTGTAACTTGTCCGATGCTTGAAGTGGTATGTGATCCCTCTGCTTCAATGTTTTCAATTGAGGAAGTAGTTTGCCGAGGTTCTGATATAGAGAGGCTTCTGGAATTAAGTTGGCCAGCTTCTGATGATAATGTTAATGTAGGGATTCCAGAAGATGGTGTAGGACTGTATGTGAAAGTTCCAACAGGATGGTCAAATTTGCAATTAGGACCAAATTTGCATATACCATACCGAGAATAGAAAAGACACAACGGTTCACCCTGTTGAAAATAATAAAAGAAATTAAAAACTCTCAGACAGAACATTTATGAACCTAAACTATATTCTAAAACTTGTACAAGTACTAAAAAACCACAAGACATTAACTACTCTCACTCTCAGACGGAATTATAAAATGTGAACATTTGACAAAAATGTACTCAGTTGAAAATATTTTCAGTTAAAAATATAATATTTTCACAAAAGCATTGTTTAAAGTCAGCCACCATACAGCTTCCGTAAGACAGACCTTATCACCTAATAAAATCATATAAGGGTTAATTGTGGATCGACCCCCTGTAGCATCGCTCAATTCTGAATAGACTCTCGTAGTTCTATTGTTGCAGATCGATCCCTGTACTATCTCCCAAGTGCAAATAGACACCATTGGTGAATTTTGACTCTTTTACCCTCAGAACGACTATTTTCCAAAAAACAATTTCTCTTTCTTTGAGGGAGTCATGAAAAATATTCACGCAGGGGGTCCATCTGCAACATAGAGCTACAGGGGTCTATCCACAATTGGGCAATACTACATGGGTCTGTCCACAATTAACCCAATAATAAATAGTTGATTGAAGTCACCCTCTGACGAAGACCTCTTAAAAGGGTATGCTAAAAGGATTTTAATTAGCTCATGATACAGATTGTTCATAGACAATAGGACACATCGAAACATATAAGCAAAATCAAAACGTGGAATGTATGGTAATTACACAATGAAAACAAGACGAAATTTGAAGACAAATGGGTTAACTTACTGAACGCAAGGGAAGGCCAAAAGGACTCAAGACACAGTTCGGAATAGGAGTTAGTCTCTCCCTCGGATGATGAAATTTGCAGACTGCGCCAAACTTGCAATCTCCGGTCTTCATATAATATTGACATTCTGGTTGGTCCGGTCTCTCAGGAAAGATATTTTCCTTCTGTGCCGCATAAAGACTCATAGGAATAGAGCCAGCTCGATAAGATGAAAATGTCGACCCTTGAGATCCTGCAATTGGTTCGCTTTGGGGCGAGGTATTCTGAATATAGAGAGAGTCCAAAAGAGTCAGGGACCAATGGACTTGATGCACTGGATATAGAAACAACTATATAAAATGCCTTTCCAATATAGAAACAGCGGAAGATGTAAAAGCAAAACTTAATACATTTTTATCCTCTTCTAATGTGTAATATAACCTTTTATTGCCTTCTATACCTAATATAACGTTTGAAATGAAATGTGCCCGTTTTCATCCTCTTCTAATGTGTAATATAACCTTTTACTGCCTTCTATACCTAATACATTTAAGTGGCTGTTGACTATGGTAGTTGGCCTATAACTTGAGTTTTCATTTCATGTAAGTTGCGCGGCTGCATCCTAGAGCATCGATGTGGAACTATATTTTGGTCAAGAATGGACGTCAATGTAAATAGCTGCCAAACTTTACATCTTAAAGAATCTCTCTAACCTATCCTGCTATTCCATGATTTATGACTCAAGCTAGTGACCTCTAACTTCCTCTCATATTTTATGAAAATAATGCATTTCCCTTTTAAACTCTGACAGCTTGTTCTGGGTTGGAGAGAAGTCATCAAATATTTTATAACATACTTCTACAAAACCAACCGTCATCTATTTTTGAACAACATTAAAGAGGCATCTTTTCCTATGAAAGGCATCATCAGGCATTGGATAAGTTATTTATCATAGAAATCTGAACTACCTGTTCTATACAAGGTCATAACTTGCTTTCATCACCCACTTAAACACAATTACGACAGAGTAAAGGGATCAAAAGGCATATTGAGAATAAATAAATTAGGACAGAAAGTGACACTTACAGAATATGGATTCCATCCGGAAACTTGAACTAGCCCTTGAGGAACAATTAGTTGAGCATAGCTTGAAGGACCTTGCCAGCGAGGACTTGGAATGAAAGATGCTCTTGAGAGGGGCCAGTTTGTCAGTCCCCCAGCATATGATTGTTGACCAGGTGCTGTAGAGGAATGTGGGTGATGAAATTTGCATGTCAAGCCAAATTTACACTGACCTGTTCTCAAATAGTAAGAACATTCTTTTTCGTTCTGCATTATGAAGAAACAATGAATGTTATAATTTACGGTGAAGTTATCATCGCCCAAATATGAAAAGAAAACCATGAGGACACAATAAATATCTAAAATTACTACCGAAAAATAAATGTGCACATTTATCTCATGCTAAAGAAATAGATCGCTAACCGGGCGAAGTGGATAGCCTTGAAGATTTAACTGAACTTGCCCAGCAATTTCAGCCTTATCTCTAGGGTGATGAAATTTACAGGTTGCGCCGAACTTGCAGGTCCCTGTCCTCATGAAATACTGGAAAAAGGAAAGAAAAAAGTCAATATACATGCTCAGTATCAAAGAGAAACATAACTGATAACCAACATAGATGATGAATATTAAGAACAAATTGGGTGAATCAACTTTATGTATCACCCAATTCTCAAATATAATATTTGTAAATTTTGCCCTTAGTGATTTTCACCTTACCAGAAAAGTTAGTGCAAATAATTTTGTGTAACATGTGCATACAGCATACATATGCATTTAAGGATTGATCGACTTATCTTGCTGCCATAGTGTCGAATGGTAATTCAATGCAGCAGGGACAGAAAAAAAAAAGAAGGGAGCCACATTATACAAAGGATAGTTGAAATGGCAGAGACACACCCTTTTGAGCAATGGCAGCTAGCCAGTTGTGGCGTGCAACTTACTAATCCATACAAGTCAGAAAATAAAATGCATAGATTCCAAAAAAAATTAATGAACTGTCATTTAGACAATAATATTGCCGCCTAAAGTGGTGCAGATGGCAAATCCAAGACATGATATTTATGCTTCACACAGACTCTAGTGATCTCAATTCCATTCGATCTGATCATATAAAAACAAAGTTTAACTTTCTCAATCAATGGTCACTAAGGAAAGAATTCCGCTGTCCTCCAGAAGAATGCTCAGTTAACTCAGGATAACTGGGAAATCTAATGAAAAGAACACTAAACACCAAAAGCAAGTCAACTGAACAGTTTTCAGTTAAACAGTAGTACAAAACTAGATAATCCGCCACTTAGATAATGCGACAGTTCAGATGAATGCATTTATGGAACAATTTGTACTGAGAGCAAACTACTGACACATCTGATAACATATACATGGTGATCCATTGTGTTATAATTTGAAATGTGTCATTTCATATAAGCATAATAAATTCTATAATACTCGGATATTACTTACTAAAGGCTAACCTGGCAGTCCGGCTGGCCTGGTCTCTCTGGATAATCTCCCTTAACTCTGGCAGCAACAGAAGCAGCAGCCTGGCAATTAACAAATTTATCTAATTAAGACCATCATTTTATGGTACATATCTACTGAAATTAAGAGTGATTATATAACATGTAGAAGCAAAGTGATAAATCAGAAAGAAATAAAAAATGTGGTAGCATTCTGTGGATATACAGGAAAGTTTCATTTTCATCAATCAATGTCGTTGAGCTAAATACCAATTTAGCAATGCATTAAAGATGATATGATGCAATTTCAGTGCCTCATCTTAAAACTTCAGCAAATTCTAGCAAGGTATTCTTCTTTGGCGTAAGTCTACCCTCCATCACAGATTCACAGAATCAGATCCAACAAATCTATTCAAAATATTCTGGCTACTTTGCTATGTGAGAGGACACCAGGCTATCGGATCATAGCTTCTAGAGTGGAGACTAACGCCTTGTTATGTGTGTAGACCTCAAGTCAAGTGAGAACGGAATGAAGTAAGGATTGAGATAGAATAAATTTGGGACCGGAATGGTCATTTCCATTCTCATGTTTGAGTGCGATTAGAGAATGAAGCAAGAACAACAATCTTTCTATTTTTTTGGTATTGGATAATCAATAAGCAATTAGGGAATACTAAGAATTTATTTTAATTTTTGGCTAAATTACTAGATTGGTATTTTTAGTAGGACCATATCACCAATATGGCATTTCTTCTTTCATTTGCAAATTATGGTATTAATATCAAAATCTAACCTCAATTTGGTAGTACTTTATACAGGGAAAACAACCACATTTGTATTAGTAGAAAAAATAACCAAATTGATATTAAGTTGATAATTTAGCATTAAACTTTTTAATTCTCACTTTAGGTGAGAATGCCAATGCTTATTCCCATCATATGTGGGACGCCCACAATATGTGGAAATAAATGAGAAGATGGAATGAGCTGTCTAACTTCCAAAATGATGTGTTTGGCACGCACCAATGAAAAGTGCAAATGATGCATAAAAATAAAAGATGGAACTTTAGATTTATAAATATCGATTTTCATAAAATCAAAACCCTATATCAGCAACAAAATCACATAAAACTGGAATAAATTTGTGAAGCATGGGCACTTCACCAATCATTGGTCTGCATCTAACACGTGTCAGACCAACGGATATCTGCCCGACACTTTGTATCAGACACATCAAAGTAGTGTTGGTTCACAAAGAACTTAAAGACTGCATGTCAAATGCACTACGGGCATCCTTGATCAAATAAACATGAAAGGAAGATATGCCAACCTTGACATAGGTAGGGAGCAAAATCTTTTTGTTTGTATTAGATTAAATGTTGAGGCATCAAAGGCTTGTGTTACATTAGACATTGGAAAATACTTTCAATCATTCTCTTAAGTTTAAGATTAGGACCTCTTGATGTCAATCAATTATCCCATAACTTAGTTCTTACTTTCTCTTTAATAAAAATATGCAATTATTCCATAACTTTGTTCTTCCTTTCTCTTAAATAAAACATGTCATGACCATATGACTAGGGGTGGCCCATTGCACAAGGCTTCCGTCATTATGGGCTATGGAAGGGTCAAAGTATGCAGCATTATCCCCATGCGGAGAGGATGTTTCTGAGTCTTAAATCCGTGACCTCCAGGTCACAAAGCAAGAACCTAACCGTTGCACCAAGGCTCACGCTCACCACTAATACTAGGTGCTTTTCTTTTCCTTTTTATTTTTATATGTTTGTCTCTCCATGTTGTCGTGTCATCTATGTCTACTTTATAAGGATTCCTAGTTCTTTTGTGTCATATTGTATATGAATTCCATGTCGCTGTTCATGCTTCCTAAAATACAACCCTATCCTTTTGCTATGGTAAGGTTGAGGGTGAGTTTTTGCGCAACAATAAGGTTATTGTCTTTTTATCTATAGGTCACGTATTCAAATCTCAGAAACAAACTCTCCACATACAGGGATAAGGTTGCGAATATCTGAACCCCTCCAGAGCCCACAATAGTAGGAGTCATATGCACTGGGCTGCCCTTGATGCTTTAGCTAAGGATTAACCTCACTTCTCTCAGAACGAATGAAATTAGAATAAAGTTTGGCCAAAGTAGAGGTATTATTGTCAAGGTTATTTGTATAGATATGACTACCAGAAGACTTTGGATAAAGCTCTCGAACATTACATGCTTCGTAACCACTAGAAAGTGGATCACCTAACTGCATCCTCAAGCTATAAGCATCCAGTTGCAAATTCAAGAAAAACGATCATTCAAAGAGACTTTGTCAAAAAGGAGGTTGTCCCAACCACTGCACATATTCTCTTTAACTAGATGAACATACTCTATTTGAACGAAATATCATGATCATTGACGATCTACGGCTATTTAAGACTACTGCCACATAAAAAGCTTATTACTCGGTTCAGAAAGGATTGACGTCTCCTATTATGATAACATCTAACCTTTTGTTCCATCCATTCATACGTAATATGTTCTTCCTTTTTCAATAATAGCGTAGTGCGCTATTTGATTTAATTATAAATTTTTTTACTAATAGATGAGTGATGTAGGCTCCACGACCGATGCTGAAAATTGCTTGTCGCTGACGAGATTTTCGTTGTTCCTCATCAAGAAGTTATAGATAGTTGGATTCTAATCATACAAAAGGATATAACTAATGTAGAAAAGCACGAGTATTCTAGATTATGGTAACATCTAACGTTTTTTTTTTTTTTTTTTTTTTTTTTTGCGTAAGGTAACATCTAACTTTTTGACATATCATTATACATATATAGTTTACATGTATTTTATTTTCTTCAATAAATAAGATGGGTTATATGCTTCCTAATACTATGATTTTCTCTCAATTATTTAGTATAGTTTCTAAAAACTTTACCTGAAAAAACTTCATCACGCTATACGTGTATGAACTTGAAGTGAGAGAACTTATTCCTTCCCTTACTATTTTGAATCCAAGCTTCAATGTATGACGAGTAATATGCACGAAGCTCTAGTACACATCATGAATGATAAATCCCTTCATCTTTGTTTATTATCTCATGCCTTATGTTAAGATCTAAATCCAAAGTGAGTCATTCGTTGCTCACCAACAATCGCACCCCCCCTCCCAACAAAAAAAAAACACTCTCCTCGTACACAAGCTATCCTCCTATTTTGCACTTGTCTGAGCTCAAGAATAACAAAACAATGATCTCCATAAATTACTATTAATATAACCCATAGGTACTTGGTTAAAAATAGGATTTGGAGCTTCATTAATGAGCATCAATGTTCTAAAACCCATTTTAATCGGCCAATTATCCTGTTGCAGGCACACAACATAATGAACTGATCTCATCATGTGTCTGCATAATTAAATTATGTCCATTACTCACTAATGGCGTTATTGTTTAAACAAAACACAAAAATGTAACCCATTTACATGAAAACTAAAAACTTCTCTTACGAATTGGAAGAACACTCTCTACCTCTCAAACAAAAAAACTAAACACTTCTCTCTAACTTCTTTCTCTTCTATGCCGTCATCAAACAAAAAAACTAAACACTTCTCTCTAACTTCTTTCTCTTCTATGCCGTCATTGACTAGTTTCTTCTCCAACAACGCTTAAAAAAACCTCTGGACACTCTTTATTCTCCAACATCATCATCTCCTCATTTAACCATGCTCATTGCACCTCTTCTCCGAGCTTCGCCATCGTCGTCGACAAGTTTTCAATCTTCATTATTATTGTTATCAAGTAGGTCCCTAAACATTTTCGCAGCATCTAGAAGCTTTGTCGTCATCGAGGGACATAATCTTCAATAGAGAAATAAATTAAAGATTAAGGAAGATATTCTCAAGGAAATATCACTATACAAATTAGGCTTGCACTAAAAGTTAAGGTGATCTTGAGTTTTGAGGCACTATAAATTCAAAGTATGTTATGAAATTTCCCAATTGCAAAAAAGTTTAACTACCATTAATAGGGTTGATGTCAAGATGACTAATTGTCGTTGATTAAAAATTTGGATTTTGAGCTTTGGGGAATGAAAGAACAGTAAAGATCGAGGCTCCCTCTGAACAAGAGTTAGCTTAGAATGTTTGCTATGCAGATGATGAAGAAGAGTAGATGAAAAGTTTTAATATTTTGAAGTTATGAACTCGTGTCTCAACTTTTAATGACTTATTAGATAGCTAGTGACTTTCAATGTATGAATGAATTTGTAACCAACTGATAAAGATTGCAGGAAGTAGCTAAATTTATGCATGCATGAGTCTCCTTGACTCTTCCGCAAGCCACTTCTTCTTGGATCCTTTGTTGTCTTCTTCGCTTGTTGACTCATCAATGTATCACCTCTTTTTGCATCTTCAGACATATTTAACTCATTGACGAGTCACCCATCGTTCACTATAATTTGATGATGGAGTCCATGGTGGAGATCCTTTCCATTGTTAACTCATAGGCGCAACAATGTTTAAGAATGTTGTTTGTGAGCTAAATTTGGAAGCTCAATTCTTTTGGACTTCCAAGAACAGGAATCCATCTTAAAGTGGGAACTCCTCCTTCCATTTTCTATATCGAAAAAGGTTAACCACTAAATAATGACTATACATAGGAAGTAGGGAATCTAGGGATTCTCAAGTTTGGCGCCTAGTAAAATGAATATCCTCCAGAAGTCTCCATAATAGATGCTTATCATAAATTTTGATGGTTGGCTTCATTTTATGAAGCATAGATGAAGCTTAGATTTGTTTTTGAGCATGCTCTTGTTAGGGGTTGTGATCATAAATAAGAGGAACATTCTTAGTTAAGCGTTGATCCATATGTTGTGCGCGGCGGAAGCCAAAACCAAATCAATATGCTTCGAGAGACCAAATCAAACAAACGCCGAGAGAACCCCAAACACAATCAAAATAACGGCACGAACACAAACAACCAATTTTAACGTGGTTCGGCAAGTTGCATACGTCCACGGGACAAGAAAGGGATGAGGTTTTCACTAATAGAGAAGAAGAGTACAAATTGAGATTTCAAATCACT